CACAAGAAATAGCGATAAATTTTAACTGTGACATTTACAGTACTGTTTAATTTTAACATTTAAAACCTGAATCCGTGAAACAGTTTTTTGAGCAAGAGTGAAACTAATGCTAAGGACGAGCGAAAAATGGTTGCAACATCCCCCGTATCAATGTTCCGCAAGCGACAATTAAATCATGACGTAGGGGATTGCGAAAGAAGCGCAGTCTTCGTCCGCCGCAATTGGATTTCTAATTCTTGAATTGGTTGTCAGACAACTATCATGGATTCTATTGGAAATCGAAACGCCTGCCCGCGTGACGGATTGATCCGCGACGAAATACCGTACGACCGCATGACGAGCCGAAATCCGACGTATCTCTGCGTTACTATGTTAAAAAGTTGTAACACAATTTGTTTTCCGTTCTGACAATTTGCTGCAGCCTCGTGTGCTTCGAAGCGCGGAGTGCCGGTCAAAATCCATTTCGGCATTGTTTCGACGTGTTCCTCGGATTAACATCAGCGGGAAAGGGTCGCTAGAAGCCTTCGAAACATACATGTACACGCCACGGTAATTTTTCACTTGTAATAACGAGATATTTTTTTCATTTTTCGTTGCAAAATGGATCATATCACAGTTTGTTATACACATATCTGAGGTTCTGAGACTCACCAACACACGGTTTATTTATCATCGCATGTTTTCATATTCGGTAACAATAATAATATCTAACACTTTTTTTATGTGTCTTCAATTTAGAAATTTTTGTAGCTTGCCGGATACATTTCAGTTATTCTAGTAGAAACTTTTGCAACAATATTTTTTTCGTTCTCTTTTTCTCTCTCTCTATATATCTACATAGCTCTGTATATGTATATATCGCTCGCTCTTCTCCCTTTTTGCCAAAATTGTTTCAGAAAGGATGTGCTTCCTTTCATCTATTATGCAACCTATTTCCTTGATAGAAATCCTTGAGACTCGAGTAAAGAAAATCACTGAAAGAGACGAATCTTGCCGTTTGAAAAAAGGAAGAAATCTCCGCGAATCTTTGGTCCATGTATTTTCGTGTTTCTTTCATGTATCCTCAACACAATGAAAATGCTAAATATCTCAGGATTCATAACTAATGATATTTGCGAGCCTCTGGCGAGGCATAAATAAAACAGGAAAAAATTAAAAGGAATTAAAAGGAACTGAAATCCGAGATTTATTACTTATCGTGAGGATTCGCGCGCACTCCGTTCGTCACTATCTTTATTACTCAGTATCTACGGAGGTTTACCCCGAGAGAGATGGAAATTTTCTTTGCCGCGATTTATTCACGCTACCTTTTGCGACTCACTCGCTCGGATAATCGATTGCGTCAATCGTGCTGGCAATGAAAGCGGAAATGAGGGGGTGGACATTCTCGTCTCTAACGCGGTCGTGAGTAATGACGATGAGCGATAAGTAGGCGGTAAAAATATGTGTCGCGGAGGAACCGTCGATATTTTCTATCGCGATTTTTGTTATAAATTTTGCGATCATCGCGAAAACACTCGCTCGTATGTAACAATACTCGACGTCTATTTATAAATTAACAAGAGCAGTTAACTAGATATTACGTGAGGATTTTATTCACGTCGTTGTGCAAAATATGTCGAAATTTCAATTGATTATAGATGATTACAGATGAATTATAAAAAGAGCTTCTCAAAGAAGCTGGACTTGGAACACATTGTTGGCTATTAACCTATGAAAATTGTCTTTAAATAATCGGCAAATCAGTCATCAAAATTAATCGTCATATATAAAATCTTAAATAATTTTATCGATCGATAAAATTAATTATTAATCAAACTTTAATATGTTTAATTACACACTGATTAATAATTAATTTCATAAATGGTTTGAATTGTAATTTTACACATGACAATTGATTAATTTTGACTACTGATTTACTGATTATTTTAGTCACACAGTTTTGATCGATTAATGCTCGATACTAACTTGGAGAAAACTTTCCTTCGACGAAGTTTTTGTCGCACGCTGCCTTTCCTCCCGACTTCTTAGCTCGTAATAATAAACACAATTCCATGTAATTATTCACAAAGTGTTCTCGTTCTCTACACACAGATCACGCGTTTGCCCACGCAATTATATTACATGTTCTAATTACGAGCAACGTAATATAGCTCAGGCTATCGTCAGTTTTCCGGTTAACCAATTTTCGCGCCTCGTTACTTCTTCGCTGCTTGCCGATTGACAGAATGCAGGAAGACTGATCGAGCGTTTAGCAATAGTTACGACGGATCACCCATTTCGCTCGACTAGCAGATTTATATATATGCGATATAACATGGCACGGTATGCTCCGTCACGGCACGATATCCAAATCGAAATCACGAAATGGAAACGAACCGGAAATATCGTCGGAGATACCGCGTTTATGCGCGTAATAACTCAACTGCGCACAATCAATCGAAAATGTTGCAACAACAATGGAACTTAGAGGCAACTTGCTGCTACTTGTAGCCTTGAGTTGAAGGATTACACGAGCTTACATAAGCTTACAAGCTTACCCTTCTCTTGAGATCGGTTTAAAAAGTTACGAAGCTCTCGACCCCTCGGTATATCACACAGTCTCAGGGGGAATTATTCGTACTAAGATAGTGCATATTTAAATAGATCTCTCATAGTTTCGGTGCAGTCGGTGAAATTATTAACATTCATAGAATTCCTGTTGTAACATACATCGCTAAGAATACAAGATGAAGAGTGCTCTCGGTGGTAGTTGCGCATCAGAGGATTGGACGCTTGGAACTATTATTCGCTTGGTCTCGCATGCAAGTTTTGTAATTTCCAGAAAACTGCTTAAAACGCTTATTTCTTCCACGGAGAAAGTTAAAGGGACTTTAATTTATCCTACGCGAGAAGCGTAACACGATTTTGATGGTCCTGTGCGCTCTACAAAATTGAAAAACCCTCGTCTCGAAGTGGTTTTTTCCACCGTAAGTGGAGATAAGATAACAATAAAGAAAGACGAGACATTTCTCTAATCACTTTGCATCGTATTTACCGTCAATAATCTGTCTTTTTGACTCCGCGTAAAGCTAACGGCATCGCCCACGTGGTTTTATTCTGCACAATTTCGACGCAGGAAGGAAACAAGAGTGAAAGTTTCCGATATTGGCTACGTTTTTACCTTACCTACGGAGGAAGTATCATCGTGAAATTGCATCGCCTTACTCTGCCCGTTAAAATTACATTCCACCGTTCTAACAGCCGACGCTCTGTTAATAAATATTACTGGCTCGAGATGGGCTCGGGAGCGTAATATTGGAATATTAGATGACAAAGGGACGGTCCATTCATGGTCTGATTATCCTGAATAATAATATCATTGACACGCTCTGATTTTGATCAAGTCCCCGACTATCCATCAAAACCACAATCGGATAAATTCCCGTCCGATCTCTGTAAACACGTGCCGCGTCATCTGATCGCATTTACGTGACCCTCGACGTGACGTAATTTTGACGAAGCAGAGATCGCGATTGCACTCCGTGACGGGGGAAGAGTAAAGTTTATTCACTCTGGAATAAGATCCACTCGCACGCGGGTACACAGTAATTACACGGAAAGGAAAAAGTACCTAAAAAGTAAAAAAAAAACAT